GCTCCGCGAGGACCTCCAAGAGAGCCCCAAGACGCCAAACTCATTAAGTTTCATTGTGTCTTCCCATACGGTTTGCTTTCGCACGTTTTCGAGCGGCCGACACTCCAAAGCTGCCCAAGAAGCCTCCAACTTTGCCCCAAGAGGCCCCCAAGACGACCCAAGAGGGCCGCATGATCGGCCCAAGATACCCCCACGGCCCAAGAGGGCCTGGAGAGGGCCTGAAGACGGCTCCAATATGGGCCCAAGAGAGGGAACGCGAACCAACCTTTCGAGTTTCCCGCCCCCAGAGGCCCCCAGGAGGCCCCAAGAGGTCCCCAAGTGGCTCCAAGAGGCTCCAAAGAGGCCCCAAATCTGCCTACGAGAGGTCCGACAAGCTCCACAACGCCCCCTTGTGGAGGCTTCAAACCTGCTTCCAAAAGGCCCCCCGAAAGGCATCCCAGGATACCATCCCAGCGAACATCCGAGAAGCCTCTAACCCACAACCCAGAAACGGTGGCGGCGGGATGGGCCGAAGGCACCACGTGGCAAAACATAATGATGTCCATTCCTACTTGGACTGTGGCGCTGTCTGGCTTCCGCCGCCATGCCCCCTCCTTCGAGGCGGAGGAGACGGAGGAGGAGGAGGAGGAGGAGGAGAAGAGGAGAAGAGGAGAAGGAGGAGGGAGAGGATTTGCATTAGGAAGGGGAAGAGGAATCTGTGCGGGGACGGGGGTGCCGAGCATAACGCGTCAGAAGCGAGGGGCAGGACTGCGGATGGAGGAGGGCGATTTTAAGGAAGACGAGTGGAGGAGGGAGGCAGTGGCCGCGGGCGGTCGGAAGGGGAAAGAGGGGGGAGGCCCGGGATCATGTCACTGTCGACGAGGAGGAGGGAGAGGAGGGAGGAGGAGGAAGAGGAGGAGGAGGATGATGATGAGGAGGAGCAGGAGGAGGAGGAGCAGGAGGAGGAGGGAGGAGGACAATGAGGAGTCAGAGAGAGAGAGGCGGATCAGAGTCAGGAAACTTGAACGGTGATGACGAGGATCATCCGTAGAAGAAAAGGAAGCCAGAAACGAGGAGGAGGGAGAAGGAAGCCCTCACACCAGGAAGGGCACCGCGAATTAGCAACAGGACGGGGATGCCGAGGATCATCCGAAAGAGGGGCACCGAGAACCCACATTGACGTTGCGTCCTTCAAGCATCTTGCTTGGTGATGTGCCTGGTGCCGTGCCGTGGGCTGTGCAGCGTGCCGTGCCGAGTACCGTGCTGGTTGCCGCGCTGCCCGTCGGAAGAGCCCCCCAAATGCCCGAACAGAGGCGCCCTCTGCCCCAATAGGCCCCCAGGAGGCCCCAAGAGACTCCCAGGAGCCCTCCACGACGCCCCAAGAAGCCCCCGAAAGGGCTCCAGAAAGACCCGAGGAGCTCCCGAGAAACCCCCACCGAGCTCGCAGGAGGCCTCCACACAGACCCTCAGAAGCCCGCCAGAAGCCCTTCGTCCTCCATGCTCTGGAACAGCCCTTCGGAGCACGTGGCCCTGGCTGCACCCCCCGACCCGCCCTCCCAATGTCGAGGCCCCGAGGACGCCCCCATGACGCCTGCAAGACGCTCCGGAAACGCCTCTCCCGCACACGTGGACCAGGTTACAACGATGTTGATCGTCGGTGGTCCGTCGTCGTCGTCGTCGTCGTCGTCGGTCGTCGCTGGTACGCTACAGGCCAAACCCTTCCTTGAACTTCGCAGTATCCGCCCGAAAGTCAGGCATGGGTGAAAGGGAGGAACCCAGAAGACCACATGGAAAAGGTCCCATGGAAGCTGACACCGTCTTTGGAGTCGACTAGAACCTAAGCGCGCGCGTGGTTCTAGTTTCGAATTGCTTAGCATTGCTTTGTTTTGCATCACATTCCCTAGCTTCGTTTGGCGGGACGGATTGGCATGTATTGGCATTGTTTGGGCTGATTTGCGTTGCTTTGTATTGCGTGGCGTTGTTTCACGTTGCCTGGCACTGCTTGGCATTGCTAGGCAGCAAGGAGCCAAGACAGAGGAACCCGATGAAAGCAGTCCGAAAGCAAGATCGGGGAACCCGGGGAAGGCAGTCAATAAACCGGACCAGGGAACCAGAGGAAGGCAGTCCAGAACACCAGCCAAGCAGCCCCAGGAAGGCAGCCAATAAACAAGACCAAACAGGCCGAGGGAGGCAGTCAAGACCTAGCAGCCCGAGTAAGGCAGTCAAGAGACAAGGCCGAGCAACCCGAGGAAGAACCCGAGGAAGGCAATCAAGAAACAAAACCCAGCAACCCGAAGAACGCCCGCTGCCGCAGGCCTGGCACCCACCAGCCCTTCAAAAACGTCTTGGAATCCCGCAGGGGGCCGGTGCCTCGGCAGCGCGCGAGGTTCGGGAGCCTTGAGACGGGGGTCAATGTGAACGGGGATCAGCCAGAGCGCCCGATCTTGAAGGATCCTGCAGGGCCAGGGTTGCATTGACCCAGATTTGAGCGCAGGATCCTGCAGGATGTTGCAGGATCCTTCGCGTTGACGTGGGTTTGGGCGCAGGATGTTGCAGGATTTTGCCGGATTCTGCAAGGCCTGACTGACCCGGTTTTGGATTGAACCGGGTCAGAAAATCCCCGAAAGGTTGTCGTGAATTGTGGCGCGTTGTGCTGCGGCATGGCCGCGCTGCGCCACGTGGTGTTTCCAAGCAGTGTGGCGTGGTGGTTGGGGTTTCTTGCATGTTCCTCGACGCAGTAAAGGGTACCCACACCGCTACCCTTCCCTCGTTTTCCCCTTCTTCGGCCTCCTGGGAGGCCCTCGTCGCCACCGCGAGGGTCGCCTCGAAGTCCTGGTCAGGACGCACCTTGGGAGCGGTCCGGGGAGGAGGAGGAGGATGAGGAGGAGGAGGAGGAGCTCTGAGTTTCCCCAGTTTCCCAGTTCCTGCTCTGAGCTGGCTCCACGCTCGCGTGGGCGGCGGCAGTCCCCTTGTCCCGCGGCCTCGTCCCTCCCCCCCCCTCAAGAGGGAGAGAGCCTTGGCATCGCTTGAACGCGTGCATTTTTCCTTCGGCGAGGGCCATCGAGGAGCATCCTTGATCATTTGGCGGAAAAACCATGCACGAAACCGAAACAGAAACACAGGGAATGGACGTCCGAGCGATGGCGAGGAGCGCGTCGCGGTCTGGGCCGGGGAGCTGCCCCTCTCCAGGGCGGAGAGGGCGGGGTGGCGCGAGGAGGATCGCGCGTCGCGCAGTGCTGGACGCGCTGCGCAAAGTTTGGGCGGCCTGGGCCTCCTCCTCCTCCTCCTCCTCCTCATCCTCCTCCTCCTCCTCCCCCTCCTCCTCCTTCTCCTCCTCCTCCCTCCTCCTCCTCCTCCTCCTCCTCCTCCTCCTCCTCCTCCTCCTCATCTGCTGCTGCTGTGCAGCTCGCATGCAGGCTCTGCGGCATCCCCGCGCGGGCATTCATGGTCTGAGCGGGCTCCTCGCTCTTCTCCCTTCGCGCGCTGTTCTTTGTCGCGTTCGTGCCTCAGTTCGCTTCCGGTGCGCCACACCGCTCGCTGACCTGGCGTCGGAGCGTTTTGGACCATTTGGCGCCCGCGGTATTTCAAAGTGTGATGGCGTGCCATGTTGTATCGTTGCACTGTTCGCCATTTTGTGCGAACGCGAAATCTCGGGGGCTTCCAGGTGCTACGTTGGTCATTCCCTTACGCTGACAATGCTGCGCCATGGCATGCGTAGGATATGTGTATGATGAAGTGTGATGGTTTGCGTTATGATCAATCTTGATACCCCGCTCGTGTTTGTTATGCTGACCTGCGTTGTCCCAACTATGCCGGGCCACGATGACGGAGGCCGTGCTGACTATATATACATACATATATTTTTATATATATATATATATGTATGTATGTGGGTTAGCCTGCGAGTTGCCATCAATGCTTCACGATTTATCATGGCATGGCCTTTCACACCATCATTGCATCGCGTTGCGTAGCAGGTCGCATGCAGAGCGTGCCAAACACTTCCGAAATTGACAACGGCGTGAGCTATCAACACAGAGTGACAGAGTCGCATGTTACACTGGGTGCCGCCATCAACGAACTACCCGTGTGGCATATGTTGTCGTGATTTCGCATTCAACGTGCAACGTGGCACGGTTCATCGGTTCATCAAAGCATGACCTTTATTGCAGTCCATTCTTTCCCATTCCAGCGCGTACCTTCAAAGAAAACAAATCCCTGGGTCACTAGAGGCGGCTCCGTTCTCCAGTGAGGGCGCGTCTGGATTTTTCTCGTGGCGGTCGCTTCGCTGAGCTTGACATATTTGCCAGCAGGAGTGATAAGGGCAGCAGAAGCATAACGATGAGTGGTCTGGCAGGAGAGCTGCGCGTGCATTGGCTTCACCAGCATCAGCGGGTCCACTCTCGCTGGGTCTTACGGCCGACGGGACTCGGTGGCGTATTCTGCTGATGTAGGCCCGTCCTGCGATGAGCCCCTCGCCGCACACTTTCAGTTTCGTCGAGTCGAGAGTCCCGAGCAAAATCCCGCGGAGGGACCCCCCCGCAAGGAGCCAATCGTGCATGGGATCATGAGGGTCACGAGGCGGAGGAGGGGGAGGAGGAGGGGGGGGAGGGCAGGGTGCGGTACAACGGTGGAGGAGGGGGAGGAGGAGGGGGATGAGGTGGCGGATTGGTAGGAGGGTGAGGGGCAGAAGGAGGATGAGAAGTAGCAGGAGGAGAGGGAGGAGGAGGAGGAGGAGGAGGAGGAGGAGGAGGAGGAGGAGGAGGAGAAGGAGGTGGAGCTGGAAGAGGAAGAGTAGGAGGAGGAGGAGGAGGAGGAGGAGGAGTAGGAGGAGGAGGGGGAGGAGGAGTCAAGGGGAGGATGTTATCCGTCGGATGACAGCCTCGCCAGCTTGCCTGAGGGCCTCGGTGCGCGCAGGTGGCTCCGTGAAGCTTGCAGTGCCTTGCCCGATGCTTGACTGGAAGAGGAACGACGAACAGCCACTGTGCTGCGCAGGAGAGAATTCAGGCGATGCCAGTTCTAAGTCGGGCCTGTCCCTCTACGGGGGAATATTCAAAAATAGTCAGACAATAGTATGGGGACGATTTTTTGATTGTTACCTAACAGCGTAGACTGATAGGTTTCTAGTTGACTCAAAAGAGCTCACAGATCACTCCACAGGGGGGTCCGGGCAGGCGTTGGGAGTTGCCGGCCGGCAGGGTGCCGGGCCTGTGCCGGGCTCGTTTTTCACCAACAGTCACACACTTCGTGCTCGTCGACCTCTCAGAACCCCATTCCCAGGCCACATTCTGAATAACCGGATGCAACAGTCACACACTTGGTGCTCCTTGACCTCCCAGAACGCCATTCCCGGGCCACATTTTGGATGCCCGGAGCCAACTGTAGGCCACTTCGTGCTCTTCGATTTCCCAGAACTCCATTCCCGGGCCACATTTTGGATGCCCGGAGCCAACTGTAGGCCACTTCGTGCTCTTCTATTTCCCAGAACTCCATTCCCGGGCCACATTTTGGATGCCCGGAGCAAACTGTAGGCCACTTCGTGCTCTTCTATTTCCCAAAACTCCATTCCCGGGCCACATTTTGGATGCCCGGAGCCAACTGTAGGCCACTTCGTGGTCTTCGAGTTCCCAGAACCATTCCCGGGCAACATTTTGGATGCCCGGAGCCAACTGTAGGCCACTTCGTGCTCTTGGACTTCCCAGAACTCCATTCCTGGGTATGATTTTGAATGCCCGGAGCAAACTGTAGGCCACTTCGTGTTCTTCGAGTTCCCAGAATTCCATTCCCTGGCCGCATTTTGAATGCTGAGGCAGGCTGATGCTGAGGCTGAGGCAGGCTGAGGCAGGCTGAGGCTGAGGCCGAAGCTGAAGGCAGACTCAGGCTGAGGCTGATGCAGGCTGAGGCTGAGGCTGAAGCAGGCTGAGGCTGATGCAGGCTGAGGCTGAGGCAGGCTGAGGCTGAGGCTGAGGCTGATGCAGGCTGAGGCTGAGGCAGGCTGAGGCTGAGGCCGAGGCTGAAGGCAGACTGAGGCTGAGGCTGAAGCAGGCGAGGCTGAGGCTGAGGCTGAGGCAGGCTGAGGCTGAGGCTGAGGCAGGCTGATGCTGAGGCAGGCTGAGGCTGAGGCTGATGCAGGCTGAGGCTGAGGCAGGCTGAGGCTGAGGCCGAGGCTGAAGGCAGACTGAGGCTGAGGCTGAAGCAGGCTGAGGCTGAGGCTGAGGCAGGCTGAGGCTGAGGCAGGCTGAGGCTGAGGCAGGCTGAGGCTGAGGCTGATGCAGGCTGAGGCAGAGGCAGGCTGAGACTGAAGCCGAGGCTGAAGGCAGATTGAGGCTGAGACAGAGACAGAGGCAGGCTGAGGCTGCGGCTGAGGCAGGCTGATGCTAAGGCAGGCTCAGGCTGAGGCTGAGGCTGATGCAGGCCGAGGCTGAGGCAGCCTGAGGCTGAGGCCGAGGCTGAAGGCAGACTGAGGCTGAGGCTGAAGCAGGCTGAAGCTGAGGCTGAGGCAGGCTGAGGCTGAGGCTGAGGCAGGCTGATGCTGAGCCAGGCTGAGGCTGAGGCTGAGGCTGATGCAGGCTGAGGCTGAGGCTGGCTGAGGCCGAGGCTGAAGGCAGACTGAGGCTGAGGCTGAAGCAGGCTGAGGCTGAGGCTGAGGCTGAGGCTGAGGCTGCAGGCTGAGGCAGGCTGAGGCTGAGGCTGAGGCTGATGCAGGCTGAGGCTGAAGCAGGCCGAGGCTGAGGCCGAGGCTGAAGGCAGACTGAGGCTGGCTGAGGCAGGCTGAGGCTGAGGCTGAGGCTGAGGCTGAGGCTGAGGCTGAGGCTGAGGCTGAGGCTGAGGCTGAGGCTGAGGCAGGCTGAGGCTGAGGCCGAGGCTGAAGGCAGACTGAGGCTGAGGCTGAAGCAGGCTGAGGCTGAGGCTGAGGCAGGCTGAGGCTGAGGCTGAGGCAGGCTGATGCTGAGGCAGGCTGAGGCTGAGGCTGAGGCTGATGCAGGCTGAGGCTGAGGCAGGCTGAGGCTGAGGCCGAGGCTGAAGGCAGACTGAGGCTGAGGCTGAAGCAGGCTGAGGCTGAGGCTGAGGCAGGCTGAGGCTGAGGCTGAGGCAGGCTGATGCTGAGGCAGGCTGAGGCTGAGGCTGAGGCTGATGCAGGCTGAGGCTGAGGCAGGCTGAGGCTGAGGCCGAGGCTGAAGGCAGACTGAGGCTGAGGCTGAAGGCAGGCTGAGGCTGAGGCTGAGGCTGAGGCTGAGGCTGAGGCTGAGGCAGGCTGAGGCTGAGGCTGAGGCTGAGGCAGGCTCAGGCTGAGGCAGGCTGAGGCTGAGGCCGAGGCTGCAGGCAGACTGAGGCTGATGCAGGAGCAGGCTGAGGCTGAGGCTGAGGCAGGCTGAAGCTGAGGCTGAGGCTGATGCTGAGGCAGGCTGAGGCTGAGGCTGAGGCTAATGCAGGCCACCGCGACTGTCATCGCGAATGCGACTACGACTGCGAGAACAGCAGAACTCTACAACAGGATTCTCATCTGAATCTTAAGGGGGATACTTCCAGATATGCTCCTACACATCGCTGTTAGGTTGCTTTGCCGGGATAAATTAATCGCTTCGCTCATTCCGCCGGCCCATAATGTCGCACCGTGGTCGCCTGTCCGAGTGGTCGTTTGCAGTGTGGAGCTGCGGCGTCGGGAGCTGTGTAGTTGTCGATAAATTTGCTGTTGTTTTTCCATGGGGCTTCTAGAGGCCTCCAGAGGGCCTTTTGGAGGCCTCTTGAGGCCTCTTGAGGGCCTCTTGGGGGCGTCTTGGGGCTTTTGGGGGCGTCTTGGGGCCTCCTGGGGGCCTCTAAGGGCTGAGAGCTCGAAATTCTGTTTCGTGAACCCCCTCTTGGGGCGTTCTTGAAGCGTTCTTGGGGCCCTCTTGGGCCGTCCTGGAGGCCTCTGGGGCCGTCTTGAAGCCGTCTGGGGCCATCTTGGAGCCCTCTTGGGGGCCTCTTGGGCCCTCTTGGGGCGATCTTGGAGGCCTCTTGAGCCGTTTAGGGGCGTCGGGGAACCGAAAAGGTTGAAACGCCCAAATCTGTCCAAAACCTATGGAAAAGCATTGTTTGTTTGCCTCTTGGGGCCCTCTTGGGAATGCACTTGGAGACCTCCTGGGGATCTTGGAGGCTTATTGGGTCATCTTGGAGACGTCTTGGGCCGTCTGGAGGCCATCTTGGGCGTCGTGGAGCGATATTCGAGCGTCTCGGACCTCTCTTGGACCGTGTTGGGGGCGTTCTTGGGGCCCTCTTGGGCCGTCCTGGAGGCCTCTGGGGCCGTCTTGGAGCCGTCTTTGGCCGTCTTGGGGCCCGCTTGGGGGCCTCTTGGACCCTCTTGGGGCGATCTTGGAGGCCTCTTGAGCCGTTTAGGGGCGTCGGGGAACCGAAAAGGTTGAAACGCCCAAATCTGTCCAAAACCAAGGAAAAGCACAGTTGTTTGCCTCTTGGGGCCCTCTTGGGAGTTCTCTTGGAGGCCTCTTGGGGCATCTTGGAGGCTTCTTGGGCCATCTTGGAGACGTCTTGGGCCGTCCGGAGGCCATCTTGGGCGTCGTGGAGCGATCTTCGGGCGTCTCGGACCTCTCTTGGACCGTGTTGGGGGCGTTCTTGGGGCCCTCTTGGGCCGTCTTGGAGGCCTCTGGGGCCGTCTTGGAGCCGTCTTGGGCCGTCTTGGGGCCATTTTAAGGGCCTCTTGGGCCCTCTTGGGGCGATCTTGGAGGCCTCTTGAGCCGTTCAGGGGCGTCGGGGAACCGAAAAGGTTGAAACGCCCAAATCTGTCCAAAACCTAAGAAAAAAAACATTGATTTTTGCCTCTTGGGGCCCTCTTGGGAGTGCTCCTGGAGGCCTCTTGAGTGCTCCGGGAGGCCTCCTGGAGGCTTGTTGGGTCATCTTGGAGACCTCTTGGGCCGTCTGGAGGCCATCTTGGGCGCCGTGGAGCGATCTTCGGGCGTCTCTGACCTCTCTTGGATTGTGTTGGGGGCCTCTTGGGGCCCTCTTGGGGCGATCCTGGAGGATCTGGGGGAGTGTCCCGGGCGTGTCCCGGGCGTGTCCCGGGCTCCTCTCGGGGTACTTTTGATCCAGGGACCCCCAGGGGCCGCCCCGCGCGCGCGAACCAGAAATACTGTTTACCAGTTACCGGAGATCTTAGCACGCCTCTGGCCCGTTGGGCCGGCGAATTTTTTAGCATTTGGGGGGCATTTTTTGCGTATTTTTCATTTGTCGCCCAAAATCCCCCTGTAGGGGGACAGGCCCGACTTAATGCCAGTTCTTGTTTTCAACGTCTTATGGACTAAACATCCCGGGGAGGCTCGTCCAAAGGGCGGTTGCCCGGAGGGTTTCTTGGGATCCGGGCTGGATTGTCCAAGGGGTTGTCCGGGGTAGGGTTCTTTGTCGCCATTAACCACCATGGCCAATCTAAGCAAGCACAGTTGGGAAGATGGTGGTCCGACGGGTGTGATTTGGGTTCTGAGGTGCGGAAGCCCCACGCCGTTTCGGCGTGATGCTGCTCTGATTGTCGGCGATGGCGTGACATTGAGTCCGCGTCACACGGTTTGGTTTAGGGGAGATGCTCCATGGCTTGAGTCTCTGGGAGTGGCTGGCTCTTGTCTCGGCCCCACGCCGCTCGTACGTGATGCTGGTCGGGCTTCTGTAGGGGGCCGCATGCGACCCCTCCCCCCACCCCCCACGATTTCTGAGGGGGAGGGTGGGGTTCACTTCGCTTGGGAGCTCCCGAACGAAGTGAACCCCACCCTCCCCCTCAGAAATCGTGGGGGGTGGGGGGAGGGTTCGCATGCGGCCCCCTATATTCTGTCTGAGCAGAGGCAGCGCCCCCCGGGTGGTCCAGGCTGGCCTCGGCAGGCTCCCCGAGACTTCCGGGGCGGTCTCGACGCTCCAGCCCCCTGGAGCGGAGTGCCCCCGCATGTAGGGGGCCGCATGCGAACCCCACCCCTACCCCCCACGATTTCTGGGGGGGAGGGTGGGGTTTACTCCGCTCGGGAGCTCCCGAGCGAAGTGGACCCCACCCTTCCCCTCAGAAATCGTGGGGGGTAGGGGTAGGGCTCGCATGTGGCCCCCTACCCCGGGGCGCCGCTGGAGGCGGCTCCAGGGTGTTGAGATTGCCAGGGGCCGCGCGTGGGGCCTGCTGAGTCCAGCCAGGGCTACTTGGGAGGGCTGTCTGTGCACAGTCCGAAGCCTTACCGCGTGGCGTTGTGCTTGTTGTCGGCGTTGGCGTGACGTTGTGTCCGTGTCACGTGGCTTGCTGCAGGGAATCCTCTATCGTTTGAGGCCTCGATTTCATGGCCAGCTTCTGTGCCACGAGGGCAGACTTACAACAGGCACATTTGGTTGTCGCGTCAATGAGTTTGAATGCTCTTTAGGCTCGCGCGGTGAACATATTTGCAGACGTCTTTTGCTACTCACAGGCGATCGCCCTTGAATCCAGAGGATTTTCCAGTCAATCAGAGTCAGCCGTCAGGCTTAAGCCAGAACGATACAGCGCACTCATGGCGTCTGCAAGCACGCACACGTACGCACACATGTCAACAATGGTGGCGGTAGTGGCGCTTCTATGGTTGAGTTATCGAACAGTAGCACATATCACCTTGACGGGCTTTTCGCCCATCAGACGTACCCTCGTTCTCAGTATCATGACGAGTGTTCTGGGCCGCGCATATTGAGTGGCCCTTGCCCCTATCTTCTCGCCCCTTTGCGTTGGGCCGGCGCGTGGTCAAGGGCCGAGTTGCCTCGTTATTGTTGCTCCCTTATTTGTGTATACGACCTCAGAAACAGACCACCAGGCCCCGACTTAGTTTCGCCCTGACCAAGGCGAGGGTATAGGAGGATGCGAAACAGCTCCTCACAAAATTGTGGAGGAGAGTGTGGGGATCATGCTTCAGGGCCCTGCACCCCAGCGGACAGGTGGGACTACACACGCTTGCCGTTTGGGGGCAGAGGCTGCAAGAGGACTGGCGAGCCGTCTTTGGCTTATCCGAAGATTAAACAAAAAACTCCTGGGAGCGCTCGCGGCAGAGATTCACCTTTGCATCGCGGTTGCCATCGAGCAGTTTGGGGTACCCCTTTCCGACGTCGTCTTCCTATGTTTTCAAGGGACCCGCTTGTGGTCTCTTGCGTTGACAGAGCCAGCTCAGACAGGTAATTCAATAGCCAGGCATTTGTTCGTGCAGTTTGGTTGTGGCTTTGCATGGCGAGGTCGTTTCTCGTATCGGCGCGTCTGCGTAGGGCAGCCCACTCGGGTGCTCTTCGCCTGTTCTGGGCCTCTATTTGACAGTAGGGGGTGTCAAGGGATCCCAATCTTCGGGTTGCCTTCGGCGAACTTGGGCATATTTAGACCCTGGATCTGCGACTTGTGCCCGTCATGTGGTGCAAATCGGAGGAGGCGTAGCTGGAGGAGGATAGAAAGAGGAGGAGGAGGACGGGGATTCGGTTGGGAGGGGGGAACCTTGCATCACGTGACGAAATCCCTCTGCCTTTTGGAGGGTCTCTGGTGTCTTGAGGGGAGTCCTTGGGTCGGTCTGGGGCCAGCTTTGGCCTCTCCAGAGGCCTCCCTGAGTCACCTTGGAGCTGTCTGGGGGACGTCGTGGGTAATCTCTGGGGTTTCTCATCGAGCAGGTTGTGCGTCAGTGATAGGAGAACGAAGAATGGCATAAACATAAAAACTCTGAGGTCCGCACGGATTTCTCGGATCCGCGCTGGGATTCCATGGCGGCGCCTCTGGTGCCGCCCTTGGCGCGTTCCGCGCGCCAGGGAGGGAGCTCCAGCGCCGATCCGAGAAATCCGCGCGGACCTCCGAGTTGTTATGTTTATGTAGTTCAATTCCCCTAAATGTGTTCGGCCGCATGCCAGGGGGCGCCCTGCCCAAATTAGCGGCAATAGATTTGGGAAGTGGGGGCGGGAGTTCTGGAGGGGAAAGAGTGCACATTTGGTGATGCGCAAGGCGCATCTGGCGGTGTACACCAGTACCCCCGCATCCGTCGATTTACTACCTAGGCCCTAGGCCTTTGCTTGATGAGTAGCTTTACGCTTCGCATCATCATGCTCTCTATCATTCTGTGTTCGCCCCTCACCCGAAGGCTCGTCGTGCCAGGCGTGGGACAAGAGCACAAACTCCCGGTGCTCTGGAGTCGCCGACGCGTGGTGGTGCAAGCAGTCGGCGAGCTTTATTTTTTGTCTCCTGGGATCATGGGCGGGGCTATTGCGCAGACAGGTGCTGTCCGCCGCTCAAGATCTCCTGAGGCTTCTGGGGACCTCCAGAGAGCTCTGCGGACGTCTGCCGGGCATCGTCGTCGTCGTCCTTCGCATCGTCGTCTCAGGGGCAGCGCTTGGGGGGTTTGGGGGGGAACGATCACTGGGGGATGCATCAGCCCCTATCGCCCAGTCATCCCCGATAGGGGCCTGGTAACTCACTCCGCCCCGTCCAGGAATGTCGCTCATCGAGGGCCTATCGCCCACCTGTCGGCGCATCGCCGACTCAAGATTGATGTTCCCCCCCCCTCCCCTCCCCTGAGCTGGTTCGCCCCTGACGTCACCCGTCATCCTCGGCCTCGACGTCCTTGTCGCCGTCCCCGTCTTCCTCGCCGCCGTCGGTGGCGTGCTCGAATCATTCGAGCAGTGGCGAGGCGCCGTGGCTTCCTTATAGGCCCACCAAGCCATCTTCTAAAAACCTCTTGTGGTCTGCACGGGATGTTCTTAGAACATGTCTGGCCGAGACTGTCTTGGTCTAACAAAGCGTGTTTATGTTCTAAGAACGTTGTTTTTGTTATTACAACATTTCTGGGTTCGAAGAAAAGTTCGCGGTAGGCCTTAGGATTGCCGGGACGGTCGGTCCCTGCGCAAATCATTTGATCGTTGTTCCAGTCGGGCGGTTCCCAGTCCCAAGCCCTCGCCCACTGCACGTTTTTCCGGTTGCCCCGAGTCCGAGTGCGCTCGGCCTTGTAGAATTACGGGCAGTTGGTTCGTATTGTTTCGGATTGGCGAGATGAGGGGAGGGAGGCTGAGAAGGAGCAGGCGGAAGAGAGTATGGGGGGTGGGCTAGAGTGAGGAGTTGAGGGGATGCAGGGATTTGGCGAGGGTAAGGGCGATGGAGGACGCCAGTGGGAACAAGGATGCGCCATCACGAGCGCGAGCGTCAGCGCCAGCATCGGCACGAGAGCAGACCGTGGGCGCGAGCGAGAGAGAGAGAGAGAGAAACAAAAAAAATGCTTAGAAAACATAGCAAACTTGATAGTATGTAGTAAATCAATAGATAGAGAAGGTTCAAGAACAGTCGTATCTGTTTACTTTGTTCCTCTTCTAGAGAGTGCGAATGCGAGGTGGGGGGGCAGGGAGCGAGGGGCAGGGCGCGAGGAGCAGGGAGCGAGGAACGGGGTGAGCAGGGAGCACATGGAGCGCGAGTTGTGCTTAAAAGTCTCCGTCGTGCACACGGGGCCCTGGGCGCTCTGTCCGGTCGTGCCCCCTCCTCCGGCTCATCCTGCCTTTTGCCTTGTGGTTCCTTCCCTCATGCCTCCTCCCTCCCTCCTGCCTCCTGCCCCCTCCTCCTTTCCATTCATGCTTACTCCTCCTGTTCCTGCTGTCTCATCCTGCCTCCTCTTCCTCCTCCGTCTCCCCCTCCTCCTCCTCCCCCCCCGCATCCCCATTCTCATCCAGATCGCTGTGGGGCGACGAAGCGAAGACTCGTGTGCGTGTGGTCTACCGAGCGGAGATTCGAGGCTGGCTCATCCCAGTCCGAGTATTATTCTTGCCTCGTACCTCCGGAGTTGCTTGCCAATGGGGCAACCGACATCTGCCTGACGCCGTCATCACCACCGTAACACATCCGACAAGACCCGTTCGTCTGACGGTGTATCGCCGTCGTGCGGCACGAAGTGTACGCCTGGGTGGAAGCAAGAGCCGACTGCAAGGTCACAGGCTTCGGAAAATTGCGTCAGTGACCGCATCGAAGGCGCGTGGGGCGAAGCGAATGGCTCGGGGCCCAGGAGTCTTCGGCACGGATTCTCGATGCAAAACTGCAGAGAGTGAACGAGCGTGCTTCGCAGGTGACCGGTGCCGGGTGCTCTCATCAATCGAAAACCTTGGGATTGTCGTCAGGTCAACGTGGTTGCTCACCACACGCACGTGTCCTGGCACTGCCATTCACCAAGGCATAAGACAGCGAGAATGTCCCACCCCTCGTTCTGGAGAGACTCGAGCTCAGTAGCCATCACCTGACAGTTGGAAGACTGAAGCAGTCTGGGCCGATCTTGGAGCCGAATCCCGTGAAACGTCTGATGTATTTCTAGTTGGGATCGGAAAGCGGGGGTTGGCCGTGGGAGGCCTGAGCATACAGTCGGGGCCCATGCCAAGAAACACCCTGCTCGCCTCCAGGGTGCCTTTGGTTGCTTGGGTTTCGATGGCTTTGGTGTGGATGGCGTGACTTTGCCACGCCACGCCAAAAATCAATGGACGTCCTGGCGTGAATTTCCCACGGATCTCAGGGTTGGGTTTTTATGTCAGGTTTCTTGTGGATTGGCCTCCATTGTGGTAGGTTCCGCTTGAATCACTTTCGGCGGGCCTGGATAATTTGCATCACATGCGAGAGAACAGGGAACTACACTCAACCCGCACAGTAAGGATGAACAGCTTTCCAAGGTTACCCTTGCATCTTTCCCCTTCGGCCCATCCTTGGCCGCTTTCGCTGGCCGCGCCCCGCTCGCAAAGTGTCGGCATGACCTTCCAAGGCCCTTGCATCCTTCTCGTGCGTCCTTGATATACGGGTTGACGGAGATGTTGCAGTTTCCCAGGCCCTGGACATATCCCGATAGCCAGTCCTTTCACGCAGCCACCTCTGATGATACACGGTTGAACCCGCGCATTCCCAGACGTATGGGGCTCGTTTCAACCAACTAGGACTCCCAGATAGTTTTTGACCGTGTTGAAGACGAGGTCATCCATAGGAGCCTCAGGCACTTGAAGACGCTCATTCTTATCAGGAACCTCCTTCAAATACGAAACATCAACAGTTTCGGTTGTTATAGTACATCTTCAATGCCGTCCGAGACGTTATCACGCCAATCATGTTCAAACCGTCACAAACGTTTGACACATGTTGCCAGTGGCCACACCCACGCCATCCATACACACCAGTGGCCAATCAGGAAGTAGAGCAGCTAACGCTTGTTCAACTCGCCAGATCGTGTCGAAGCCTATGCTGAATGTCAGAGCAAACAGGGGACAGTATTGTGTGCTCTCCCTCCCGATGCTGCATACATGACCAACCCCGCCACCCAACAGAACATTCACTGCCGCGCCATGATATATAGCTGGCCCGCTGGTTGGATAAAAGTCTGCGGCGCATCTGAGTGCAGTCGACACAGCGAAGAGCTAGACGTGCGAGAGAAACGGGAATGCAGCGGCTAGCAACCCACCCGAAGAAAACATGAATTTCATAGCAATTTGCCATGACTCGTACGAACAAACCATTGAATGTCGTGAAAAAGAATCCAGCTGACAACCGTATATTCGTAAGGATGAACCACCGAAAGCGGTAAGAATTTGTCCTCTGAGCTCATAGGGGCAAGTCTCGGGGTGACGGGGCGCTCCCAGAGGCTAGATCTAGCAGGAGCAGGCCTGATAGCTCGCGTACTCTTCCGGCGTGCATCTGCCAGAGGAGGTCGTCCGATGTCGCACGGGTTATGCAACATGCGCGTTGCCCGAACAGAGATTGCATTCAGACCCCTTGTTCACTAAGTCAAAACAGATGCCCAATCCCAAAAACGCGGGGGCCAAGACAAAATGCAGGCTCCTCGAGACTTCGGGGAGGGAGGTTTTGGGGCAGGGTGTTTTACCAGGGCGACGACGGCGAACGCAAAACATGCCCCGAAATCTCTGGCCGATCTTCGAACCCTCGGTGAATCCGCGATTCTGGGATTGGGGATGTGTCTTTTCGTGGCCACCTGTGTTCTCAGGATCGGGGCCTGGCTGCCCGTCCGGCGGCGCCGTGCGAGCCGTCGCCGGCGCCCAGCGCCGCCTCCACCGCCGCCCGCCGTCTGGGCCCTGGCTGCCGGTCTGGCGGCTCCGTGCTCGCCGTCGCCGCCCCGTCGCAGCCTCGTCGCCGCGACAAGGACTGCGGCACATCGAATGCGCCACTTAAATGGCACCAGGTAGATTGTACATCATATTTCAGGAGGGAAAAAGCGACACACAGGCACAATTAATCCTCGATTCCCCAGAAAATATGAGAAAAAATATGGGAAGTGGGGGGGAAGACAGAAACTCAGAAAATATTGGAAAATATGGGGAATCATTTTATTTGTGTGTATTTATTTGTGTGTCCTGGGGCCCCTTTAATGTTGGCTGCACCACGTGGACTGCTCTGCATAGACTGCCCCGCACACAGATCGCGCACCGCATAGATTGCACAGCCTGGATCGCACTAGAGGTGTGGCACAACATAGACTGCTCAACATACATGGCACAACCTAGATTGCACGACCTATATGGCACCGCATAGATTGCTCCACGTAGATTGTACAACATGTATATATGTGTATATATACATATATATATATATATATATATATATTGAGCCGCATAGGTTACACAACCTGTGTTGCAATACATCGATCGCACAAAACAGGTTGCACCACATCAATTGCACAACACATTTTGCATCACACAGATGGCTAGAAGAATATTGGGGTCCGCGTTGGCTAACATCTTTCTGGTTATCCCCGTTTGGAAATAACTTGTGAACATTTTTGCCTGCTGGGGTAGCGGCACCGCTATGCCTGCCGAGAGGATTTTACCCAGCCGCTTGCCAAGTCCAACCACCGTGCCAGCGCAGCATTCTGTGTAGCGACGTTTCAGGCACTGGGCAGAAGGCCGTAATGTGTGACATATATATATATATATATATATATATATATATATATATATATATGTACATACATGTATATGTGTATGTATCTGTTTATAGTCCCTGCCCCTTCACGGCGCTCATGGGGGCCTTGAGGCTGCCTTGGGGCAGTCTGGGGCGCTTCTCGAGGCCCTCTTTGGACCCTCTTAGGCCGTCTTAGGGGCGCTTTCCAGCCGGCTACGGGTTGTATCTGGCAGTCGCAGGTTGATATTGTATGTTTTGCCGTTATTTGGGGCCGTACCTTGAGCCGTATTGCAGCCTTCTTGGGGATGTCTTGTGGGGGGGGGTCTTAGAGCTCCCATTTCTAGTTGGTTCCCCCGAGGCTCTCGAAGAAAAGAAGTATCTTGAGCCGAGACGTTCGGAAACTGCAGCATGCTCAATCAAACACCGAAGGGCTCCGTCATAATGACGTTAGCCATCCCACAGTGCAGGTTTGGCCCCATTTAGCGTTTCTCAGGGTTCCTTAAATCTTGTTCGGGGGCCTCTTGAGGCAATGTTGGGCCATCTTCGCGACCTTGGTGGCCTGCCTGGACCGTCTTGCCTGGGGAGGCGTGGAGGGCCTCGGGGAAGCTTCTGGCCGCCCAGGTGGCCTCAAGAGGGGGCTGCGATGCACGCGACTGAGTGTCAGGAGTGGGGGCGTGTCTTCGATCGACGGCGAAATCCGAACCCTACCCTCGCCGTTCAGCGATTCAGGCAACTCGAAGGGCGGCGGGGGTAGGGTTCGGATGTCGCCCTCTATTGTAGAACGTACAGTCATCGCGCCTGGTAAGGTCGCGCGCCTTCACCTAGGGTACCCTTGTGTCCTTGCCTGTGTGGCCCATCCTTTGCCGTTTTCACTGGTCGCCCGCCGCCCCCCAAAAATCCAAATTTCGGCCTCCAAGGGTCTTGCGTCCTTAACCACCCGTCCTTAATATACGTTTTGTGTGTATAGGGCCTTTGTCAGGCAGCCCCTGCCCGCCTCGACGAGCCGGGGGGCACGGTGGTGGGCCGCCAGGATTCAATGGGTTCGATCGGCCCATTTGGGAAGGCCTTCGGGGAGCGCTCGGGTTGATTTACCATTCGATGTTCTTTGGAGGGGAGACTCCGTAGCCCTCCTCCTCCTCGTTGTCATCCTCCCCCTCTTCCTGCTAGTATGCTAGTACGGTTCCTCCTCCTCTTCCTCCTCCTCTCCTCCTCCTCTTTCTCTTTGTTCTCCTCCTCCTCCTCCTCATTCTCCTCCTCATTCTCCTCATTATCCTCCTCGTCCTCCTCCTCCTCTTTGTCCTCCTCCTCCTCCTCCTCCTCCTCCTCCTCCTCCATCGCAACCGTCTAGCAGCGGTTGGCCGATCATCACGTCTCGAGACGCGCCAGACAAGGCATGCCGAGTGAAATCCCAGCCCGCGCGCCACTCCGACCAAGGGACCTACGCCAGGACCAGCAGGTGCCAGGTCACGTAGCCGAGGGGTGACCATGCCAGACAAAATTCCATGATGAACTTCCCACTCGACTTGGGCTAACAATATTGATGTTGCCGCACTGCTACCGAGCAGCCCGAAATACATGATCATAATAAGCATGAGGTGTTGCATTTTGAGCGCACGGGGCTCGGTGGACCGTTCTCCAGTACCTGTGTTTTCATTTGGAATAACAGCGCTTTCCCTAAAGATGTGGGGTTACACACGCCACGCCAGCCACACAGCTTGCGAGAGACACACGGCGACGTTCAGGCCTCCAACATCTCACTGCTTCGTGAAGTATCCCCGCGGCGTTCCTCTCCTCGTGGTTCCTTCCTCGTGTCGCTCTGCACGAGGTCCGTCACATGACGCAGGACCATCGACTGGCTTGCTGTCTCTCGGCATCACCCCAACCTAGCTATACTGTGTGACTGGGTGCGTGTCGGCCCGGCAGGGGCGACGCTCGCGCTCAGCGATCTTCTAGCACGACCGCCGTGGCGGGCGCGTTCGGGCCACTTCGCCCGGGCGGCAGCATGGTGCGGGATGTTTGTGCTGTCTGGTCGGCTCGGGCGTGCGCCGCTCGAGGGAGGCGCGTGGCACTACACAGTGCGAGCTTCTGCGTGCCAGTCCTCTGCCTCGGCAGCGCCGCTGCAGCCTTCGCGGGCCGCCGGGCCGCCAGCGAGGAGGGCAGAGCCCGCCATGGCCCTCGCGGGGCGGTGGCGGGGCAAGGGGCCGGGAGCAGCGGCCTCGGCGCGGGGGCGCGGGCAGCCGGGAGGGGAGGGGGGCGAGGCGGCAGCGGGGCCGCGCGGGGCCGCCAGGGGGGCGGCGGGGCGGGGGGCGAGGCAGCAGCAGTGGCGGAGCAGCCGCCCGCAGGGGGGCGGCCGCCGGGCCGGCAGAGGCCTGGAGGGGCGCGGCGGCCGGGCGCCGGGCGGCAGCCGAGCTCGCCAGAGCGGCGGGGCGGCCGAGGAGCGGCAGCGAGTGGTCCGCGGGGGTGCGGTGCGGCAGCGGGCGAGGCCGCGCTTGCAAGGACTGCTGGGGGGGGGGCGGCAGGTGCGGCCCAAGAGCCGCGGACGCGGTGGGCACGAGACCGCCGGGGCAAGAGCGGCTAAGTTACCGACGGCGGGGAAGGGCCGCGGTGCCCACCCGCGGCGGGGGGACGCGGCGCCGGGGTGGACGGCACAGCCGAACGGAGGCGCCGGGGTGAGGCAGCGCAACAGGTCAGGCAGCCAGCGATCAGCACAGTGAGGATGTCACCGGCGATCCGCTGTCTGTAGTGTGGAGGGCGGCGGAAACAGAGGCGAGCGGGGCAGAAGGGCGCGACAAGGTGAGGCGGCGCACCAAAGTACACACACACACACACACATCTCGCCCGCCCTGCCCCCTTCCTCGTCCTCGTCTACGTTGTCCTCCTCCTCCTCCTCCTCCTCCTCCTCCTCCTCCTCCTCCTCCTCCTCCTCCCTCTGCTGGGTGGGAAAGACAGAAGCCGCTCCCGAGTGGTGCTACGTGGACCCGTGCACCTGCACGTCCGCGCGCAGCGTTCCACGGAAGGCGCACCTCCTCCCAGGCCGGCGGGAGGGGATGGTGGAGTGGGGAGGAGGACAGAAGGTTGGAGCAGGAGGAGGGGGAGGAGGAAGAGGAGGAGGGGAAGGAAGGAGGAAGGAGGGGGAGGAGGCGGACACCTGAGTATTCAGGATGAGGTCGAGGAGTAGAGCGGAAGAGACGAGGAGGGGCAGGAGAACGTGGACAAGGAGGAGGAGAAGAAGGATCCCCAGGCGGCGCCACCTTCCGGGGCGTCCCGCTGTTTTACTCGTACGAGACTTGCGGATCAATGGACGCTTATTCCAAGACCATGAACAAGGAGTCGTGCCCAAGGCATACGTCGTGGCATGCGTGCGGGAAGGCGTCCATTCTTAATGTTTTCTCCCTGCATCTTCTTCATCCACTCCTCCTCGTGTTTCTCATCGTCATATTCTTCATCTTCGCCCTTTCTCCTCCTTCCTCCCGTAGATGGACAGCAATATGGAACCCTTCCCCCTCCCCCCCATCCAAAATTGGTCCCAGGCATTCGGCCGCATAGGCGTGAGAGGACAAGAGTTGTGTAACCCCAGGGCCTCTGCGAGGATCAGCCCAACTTTCAATCTTGATGGGGGGAGCCGAACACGCCATCATCTTCTTCATCGTCGTCCCTCTTCTGTTGTCCCTATCTTTCCTCGTATCTGGATCCTCTTCATCGTCGTCTTCATTATCGTGTTACTCTTCGTCATCCTCGTCATCGTCGTCCCTTCTCATCCTTCCCCCTTGTTTTTCTCCACCTTCCCTCCTCCCGCCGCCTGCTTCCGCTTTTATGTCACCGCTTCCGCGTCGCGCAACCACTCGTAGAGTCTCTCTCGAAGGTTTGTCGCCACCATCACATTCACCCACGTGCCGTCACAACCCTCACAGGGATCTTGTTCCCATATGAGGCTCAACCTAACTAGGGCACCAGTCAGGGTATTCACACGCAGGCCCACGGCCAATTCGGCACTCCCGCAACAAGGGGCGTGCCCCAAAATCCACTTATGGGCGGTACGGCTCCAGTAAGGGTGTTCGTATGCGGGCCCACGCCTACTTCGGTTCTCCCATCTCTCTCACATGCACGCACATCTTGGAAAGCGTCACTGGTTCCAGCAAGGATGTTCGCATCGAGCCCACGCCCAATCCGGTACACCACTCACGTGGATCGTGTTCCGCAGGGAGCTCCACCGACGGCAGCAGAGAAGGTGCTCGCATGCGGGACCGCGGCCCGTATGGCACAACTCTCACAAGCAGTGTGCCCCCAAGGAAAGCTCCACCTGCGGCCCCATTGAGCGTGTTCGCACGCGTGGCCTGGGCCCAACTCGGCACACCTTTCACGAGGACCGTGCTCCACAGGAGGCTCCACCTGCGGCCCAGGTGGTGACGCCCGATCCGTGCCCACGCCCGATTCGGCACACCCCTCACGCGGAACATAGCCACATGGTGAGCTCCACCGCTGCGCCCCCCGTGGGAACATTCGCCTGCGGACCCACGCTCGCACGCATCGTGCGGGTCGCACCCTGCGGGAGGGAGAAAGAGCGTCGACGACACGCTGTCGCTGGCAGCCCGTCACCGTGTTGCGCTCGTTGTGCTGACCGCAGGCCTGGGCGTGTTTTTCAAACGTGGCGCGATGATGGGCCCCCCACGGCGGCGTGTCATTGATATGGTCTTCGGCCATTCCCCAGCCACGCGCGTGGAGAGCGCAGCGGGCCCCTTGCGCTGCGCGCTCCGAAGCGCCCACACTCGAGCCCTGCCACGGGCAGCCTGTCGCTGTCCCTCCCGCGGCGCTGCTCGCACGCTCAGCTCCTGCCGCGGGCAGTCCACGCCCGAGCCCTGCCACGGGCAGCCTGTCGCTGTCCCTCCCGCGGCGCTGCTCGCGCACTCAAGCCTGCCGCGGGGAGTCCACACTCGAGCCCTGCCACGGGCAGCCTGTCGCTGTCCCTCCCGCGGCGCTGCTCGCACACTCAACTCTGCCGCGGATAATGCACGCTCGAGTCCTGCCACGTGCAGCCAATCCCTGTCCCTCCCGCGGCGCTGCTCGCACAGTCAACTCTGCCGCGGGCAGTCCACACCCGAGTCCTGCCACGGGCAGCCAATCCCTGTCCCTCCCGCGGCGCTGCTCGCACAGTCAACTCTGCCGCGGGCAGTCCACACTCGAGCCCTGCCACTGGCAACCCATCCCTGTCACTCCCGCGGCGCTGCTCGCGCACTCAAGCCTGCCGCGGGGAGTCCACACTCGAGCCCTGCCACGGGCAGCCTGTCGCTGTCCCTCCCGCGGCGCTGCTCGCACCCTCAACTCTGCCGCGGATAATGCACGCTCGAGTCCTGCCACGTGCAGCCAATCCCTGTCCCTCCCGCGGCGCTGCTCGCACAGTCAACTCTGCCGCGGGCAGTCCACACCCGAGTCCTGCCACGGGCAGCCAATCCCTGTCCCTCCCGCGGCGCTGCTCGCACAGTCAACTCTGCCGCGGGCAGTCCACACTCGAGCCCTGCCACGGGCAACCTATCCCTGTAATTACTGCCCGCGGCGCTGCTCGCACACTCAACTCTGCCGCGGGCAGTCCACACTCGAGCCCTGTCACGGGCAGCCTGTCGCTGTCCCTCCCGCGGCGCTGCTCGCACACTCAACTCTGCCGCGGGCAGTCCACGCCCGAGCCCTGCCACGGGCAGCCTGTCGCTGTCCCTCCCGCGGCGCTGCTCGCACACTCAACTCTGCCGCGGGCAGGCCACACTCAACTCTGCCGCGGGCAGTCCTCGCCCGAGCCCTGCCACGGGCAGCCGGTCGCTGTCCCTCCCGCGGCGCTGCTCGCACACTCAACTCTGCCGCGGGCAGGCGAGCCCTACCACGGGCAGCCTGTCGCTGTCCCTCCCGCGGCGCTGCTCGCACACAACTCAACTCTCGCTGCCGGCGGCTCGCCGCGGGCAGTCCACACTCGAGCCCTACCACGGGCAGCCGGTCGCTGTCCCTCCCGCGGCGCTGCTCGCACACGCAACTCTGCCGCGGGCAGTCCACGCCCGAGCCCTGCCACGGGCAGCCTGTCGCTGTCCCTCCCGCGGCGCTGCTCGCACACTCAACTCTGCCGCGGGCAGTCCACACTCGAGCCCTGCCACGGGCAGCCGGTCGCTGTCCCTCCCGCGGCGCTGCTCGCACACGCAACTCTGCCGCGGGCAGTCCACGCCCGAGCCCTGCCACGGGCAGCCTGTCGCTGTCCCTCCCGCGGCGCTGCTCGCACACTCAACTCTGCCGCGGGCAGTCCACACTCGAGCCCTGCCACGGGCAGCCGGTCGCTGTCCCTCCCGCGGCGCTGCTCGCACACGCAACTCTGCCGCGGGCAGTCCACGCCCGAGCCCTGCCACGGGCAGCCTGTCGCTGTCCCTCCCGCGGCGCTGCTCGCACACTCAACTCTGCCGCGGGCAGTCCACACTCGAGCCCTGCCACGGGCAGCCGGTCGCTGTCCCTCCCGCGGCGCTGCTCGCACACTCAACTCTGCCGCGGGCAGTCCACACTCGAGCCCTGCCACGGGCAGCCGGTCGCTGTCCCTCCCGCGGCGCTGCTCGCACACGCAACTCTGCCGCGGGCAGTCCACGCCCGAGCCCTGCCACGGGCAGCCTGTCGCTGTCCCTCCCGCGGCGCTGCTCGCACACTCAACTCTGCCGCGGGCAGTCCACACTCGAGCCCTGCCACGGGCAGCCGGTCGCTGTCCCTCCCGCGGCGCTGCTCGCACACTCAACTCTGCCGCGGGCAGTCCACACTCGAGCCCTGCCACGGGCAGCCGGTCGCTGCCCCCTCCCGCGGCGTTGCTCGCATTTTCACATCTGCCGCGGGCAGTCCACGCTCGAGCCCTGCCACGGGCTCCCTCCCGTGGCGCCGCTCGCGCAGTCAAGTCTGCCGCGGGCAGTTTAACGTCGAGACGCTGACGCGAGGACCACGCTGGACGCGGAGGTGGGGGGAGGAGGAGGAGGAGGGGGGGGGGAGGAGGAGGAGGATGAGGAGGAGGAGGAGGTGGGGGGAGGAGGAGGAGGAGGAGGAGGAGGAGGAGGAGGAGGAGGAGGAGGAGGAGGAGGGGGGCTGGACTCGGGAGGGGCTCGGGGGTTTTCGGGCCGCTCTTGGGCTCTGTGCCTGGGAGCCGGCTCGTGGCCGCAGGCTCGCCGCGCGGCCAGAAGCGCCCGCTTCGTTCTCGAGCTGGCGCTTCTTTGTTGCAGCGCGAGGACTCCTCCTCCTCCTCCTCCTCCTCCTCCCCGTAGCCATTTTGGCTCAAGACGGAGCTTGCCTCCCGTCCCGACTCCCGAGGCTCGAGGCCGAGGTGGAAGGGCAGCCCCTTCCAGAGGCCTGGCTGCCTCGGCCAGCTTTCAGGCGTTCTGTGAGCTCCTGCTGGAGCGAGCAAGCCGTTTTGGCATACGTGTGAGGAGAGAGGTCAGCGGATGGCCCCAGCCTTCGATGACAAGGACTGGGATGTCTTGCTGGGCCCGAGGAGGCCAGAGTGGGCGTGTGGCTCGTGCACTCGCCTGCGCAACTGGGCGCCCAGGATCAAGTGTGAGCGCGGGCGCTCGGCGCCCGCGCATATTCGAGCGAGAGCCTTCACTGCCCACAAGGTTGCCACGCAGCAGCTGGAGCGGAGTGGAGGCAAAAGGCAATGGCAAAGGCAAAGGACGTGTCCAAACGAAAGATAAGGGCGGTGGCAAGGGAGATAAGCTCAGTGCGATGGAGAAGAAGCTGGACTCCCTCATGGCATCGCTCTCGAAGAGTACCACGTCGACTACGGAGCCCCTCCTACACCTCCATGGCAGCGCGAGGCACAGGATCGGGCGAGCAAAACTGCTGAGGCTGAACCAGACACGGACGAAGGACGACGAGCTAAAGTTGCCGTTCAAATCCAAGAGTTGGAGGCCTCTATCAAGACGATGGGAGCGCATGAGGAGTTCAAAGATATACGGTGCAGCATGGAGACCAAGCTCTCGACGCTGCGCACACAGCAGAAGCAGATGCGGCCACCTCAGACAGCGCATCGTCGCGCGGCACAAGATCTCAGCAAAGCGAAGGCGGCGATTGCGACGATGTCGAAGGATTTGGCCGACAAGAAAGATCAGTATGAGAAGCTGCGCGTTTCGATCGAGGAGCGCGAGCAGACGCTGGGGGCGAAGAAGGTGCAGCTGGCGGTCCTGCAGACGGAGTTCGACAGGACGGCTGCGCTGGTATCGCCGAAAGAGGAGAATGCCGATGGAGAGTGCAAGCCTGTCCCTGGCTCAGTGCTGCTTCACGACATCGACAATTTCAAGAAGGAGAACGCTGAGGCAGAGGACTTCCTGGCAAGTCCGCTCTGGGAGAAGTTGCAGGCTCACGTCCGC